TGGGGGGTTTTTTGGTGCCTAATTGGAGATAAGAATCTCACAGACTTTTCTGCCTTGGCTATCTTCAAACCATAATCTTCAAATCACAGCCTCCTGAGTAGCTAGGATTATAACCATGAGCTACCAGTACGCAACAATCACTTTGTTTGCAGTACTGGGGACTAAACCCTCGGACTTACATGGTAGGCATGTATTCCACCTCTGAGTTATACTCCCAGCTCTCTTCCTGAAGTATGTATATGCCAGGTAGAGGAGCTATATCACCCTTTAGTCTTGAATACAGCAATAAATGATTAAGTTGGAACTAGAAGTTTTTTTGTATGTTCAAACATGGGCAAACAAAGGAAGCATTAGAAAGTGATATTAATATGTGTATGTATGTATACATATATAGGGAAAGGGATAAGCAATAAATTCTATGACCTTATATCTTCATGAGGGTTCAAAAATAATTCCTTGCTTGCCACCCCCATGTCTCCATTATTTTTGCCCAGGTCTGCTTTTCCTCCATTTGTATTAGTCAAGAGGTATAAATCTCTGGGGTCAACCTCAACTTGTTGCATTACAGTCATCTTTTCTTGTTAGCTATTGTGTCAAACTTGCTGAAGGACACTAGAAAAAAAAGACTTGGTTATATCACTTTAAAAAAATCTAGAAAAAAGCTGGGTGCTGGCTCACGCCTCTAACCCTAACTACTCAGGAGACTAAGATATGAGGATCGTGGTTCAAAGCCAGCCTGGGCAGGAAAGTCCATGAAACTCTTATCTCTGATAAAAAGTCTCCAGAAAACCAGAAGTGGTGCTGTGGCTCAAGTGGTAGAGCACTCACCCTGAGTAGAAGAGCTTAGGGACAGTGTCTAGGCCCAGAGTTTAAGCCCATAACTGACACACACACAAAAAAAAAAAAATCTAGAAAAAACAATCATGAACTCTCTTTCTTTTCTATTTCTCTACACCCTTATCAATCACTGGCAGGATCTTTCTTTTGGTCCTATAATATTTATAAAATAATCTATAATAGTGTCCATTAGAAGCACAGTAAGTAAAGAATGCTCAAAATTTCAAGAAGTTTTCTCATCACAGAAAAAGAGTTAAATATTTGGTTTAGCTTTGTGGTTATCAGCTATTTATGAAAAAATTCTAAAGCCAAGTAAAGCTTGAAAGTCACTAAAAAACCTCTTGTATCCTTAATAATTTATAAATAGGCAAAATTGTCATTATAATATTCTTTTGCCAGAGGCATAAAGTTAATCATGGCTAAAATTTAGCATGGATTTTGGTAGTGCACAGTGACATGGATCTTTAAAGCTGAGATATTCTGTCAAAGGATGAGGTGTCCAAACAGCAAACCTGGGAGATTTTTTTGAGAATTTTAGTTTTAATTAATTAAGAGTTGACAGGGTAAGAGATTAAGTCAAATGTTTAGAACAGCATCCCAAATTTAAGCAATTACTTTTTTAAAAATGTTATTGTTAAGGTGATGTACAGAGGGTTTGCAGTCACATAAGTCAGCTAATGAGTACTTTTCTTTTAGAACAGTGTCACCCTTCCCTCATTTTCTCCAAGTCTCCTGGTCTTTCTCTCTCAAACCCCACACCCACAAGTTGTATAGTTCATTTTCAGCATAGTATCTAGTAAGTATCATTGCTGCATTTGTTCACCCTTTGTCCCACCACTTCTACACTTTCCTTTGCCCTCCCCAAATGGGATAAAGGTACATACAAGACAAAAGGTACAGAAATAAAAAACAATGACAAAACAGTATATACGGAAGGGGGAAAAACACACACAAAAAAATGTTTAAAAAAAAGTTTCCATTTCTTGGAGTTCATTTCAACATCCATTATTTTATATGGTCATATGCACAGAGCCCTTGTAATCCTCTCCTAAGAATATCCTCCTTTGGTCTCACTGTGTGAATATTTAGAGTCCTGCTATATTTATCATAGTCCAAGTATAATTTTTTGCCTTTTACCTTTATCTACTGTAGATTACTTGTAGATTTATAAGCATATTCTCATTACTACAAATGAGGGAAAACATGCAACCTATGTTTCTTTGGCTCTGGTATACTTTGCTTAATATAAATTTTTCCAAGTCTTTCCATTTCCTTATGAATGGAGCAATATCATTCTTTCTGATGGAAGCATAGAATTCCACTGTGTATATAACCATATTTTCTTGACCCATTTATCCACCGAGGAGCACCTGGGTTGATTCCATATCTTGGATATGTTAAACAATGTTACAATGAACATGGCTGAGCTGGTAGGTTTAGTGTGGCCTGGTTTGTGGTCAATTAAATAAATGCCCAGGAGTAGGATTGCTGGGTCACAGAGAAGCTCTATGTTTAGTCTTTTAAGGAACTTCTATACTGCTTTCCAGAGTGGTTGAACAAGTTTACATTCCCACCAACAGTGTAGCTGCATTCGCTTTTGACCACACTCTGCCAGACTCTGTTATTGTTAATTTTCTTGATAATGGCCATGGTGAGGTAGGATCTCAATGTCGTTTTGATTTTCATTTCTTTTATGGCCAGTGATACTGACATGTGTCTATTAGTCATTCTTACTTTTTCTTCTAAGAAGTCTGTAAGTTCTTAGCCCATTTACTAATTGGGTTCTTGTTTCTTTGAGGACTTGTTTTTGGGGGGTTTAACTTGAGCTCTAAGTAAATTTTAGATATATGGCCCTTGTCACGCATAGCTAGTAAAAATCTTCTCCCATTCTGTGGGCTTTCTACAAATCTCAATAGCTACATTCTTTGCCATGCAGAAACTTCAGTTCATACAATCCCATTTACCAGTCTTTCTTTGATATGTTTTAATACTGGATCTTTACTTAGGAAGTGTTGACTTGTGCCAGGGCATCTGGTTTTTGATCCATCTGGAATTGATTCTGGTGCAGGGTGATATAGAAGGATCTAGCTTCAGTTTTCTGCACACACACACACACACACTATATATATATATATATATATATATGGAGATATATATATATAGCCAATTGTGCCAGCACCTTTTGTTGAAGAGACTTTTATTCCATTCTGTGTTTTTAACTCTCTTCTCAAATATTAAGTTGGCTTTAGGTCTGTGGGTTTATTTCTGGGTCTTCTATTCTATTCCATTGGTCCTCAGGCCTATTCTTGTGCCAGTACCATGCTGTTTTTATTACTATAGCTTTGTAATAGAGTTTGAAATTCACTATTGATATTCCTCCAGCATTTTCTTTCCTGCTAAGGATTTCTTTTAAGCAATTACTTTAGACTAAACACAGAACATGATCCTCAAATTTTATTAATTTTCAAGAAAATATTAGAATAAAGCCAATTTCCTAATTTTGGTGGTCAGTTTATCTTCTACAAAGAACATCTGTCAGGGAAACAGTCTCAGCAATACTTAACTCTATTTGGAGGAGTCATTATTTAACAATCAGTGCAAAGACATACTTCTCTGATAAGATCTTGGGAAAACGAAATCCACTTCTAATTAGAAGGTTTTAAACCCAAGGAAATCCTTTTGAGAACTGAACGCTCAATGTTAAATGTCTTGAATTTAAATAAATGCTGTAACTATAATGCAAGGACAAATTTACTTCAGAAATGTAATCATAGGACAAAATTTTGTATTGTCTAAGGACATACTTTCCAAATCATTAAAAAAAAAGTGTGGAACAAGAGAGCAACTGCTGTAATCACACAGACTATGTGGTGAAGTTCTTCTTCCATTATTCTTCAATAACTATGAATATACTCAGTTTCAGAATGATATTTTTATGTTTCACAGAAAGAAATAGAAAAATCTAACATGACTTAGATGATACTTTATATTATAAAGTTCTCAACCTTCAATTTTCCCTATTCAAGAAGAAAATATAGAGAAGGCAAATGAGGAAGCAAGGGGGTTGGAGTACAGGCTTGGTTTTTGAGACAGAGACCCAGATACTTACAAGGCATTGCATGATATATGCTTGGCCAATACTGTCCACTGTCTCTCTTTAACCAAACACGAACTGTCCTGCAACAGATGAAAATGTGTGGATTCAATCACAGAATTTTTGGTCATGGGAAAATGGTGAGACACAGAAACCAAACAATATTATATACGCAGAATGTCTTAATTATGTACAACATATATGCATATTCATAACATGTGTACATTAAAACATATATGTACTTATTATATACCTCCCCCAAAATCCTTTATTCCTTAAGTTTAAGGCTTTTGTTCATGTAGAATTTGTGTCATCCTCACATACGTATATATACACACATGTCTGATCATGACTACTTTTTTTTTTTTTATTTAATTTAATTTTATTTGTGAACATACTGTACAGAGGAGTTACAGTTTCATGGGCAGGATAATGCGTACATTTCTTACCAAGCATTGCAGCCTCCTCCTTTGTTTACCCTTCACATCCCTTCCCAGCCTCCCCTCTCCCCCCCTAATCCCAATCCTTCTCCTTCCCCCCCTTCCCCCCCCCCCCCCCCCCCCCGCACTCATGACTACTTTTGAGAGCTATCTTTGTTGTTTTGCATTTCTTTTATACAAATCTCTGGAAGCATGAATCTTACTAGGGTCCTATTAGGTATTACTAGTGAAAGCAGATGAAGACTGCTCTGTGAAGCAAGTGCAAAGAGATCAAGGGAAATAATATGCAGCATCTGACATGAACAGGATTAATAGTAAATCCCTAGTATTCCAAGCTAGGCCCTTATCTAAAAGGAAGTTTTTCCAAGCATAGCCTAGCCACAGTAATCTCTGACTCAGATTTTCTTACATACCATATATGTCATGTTTTAACTATATGGCCCCAGATAGGAGGCTCCACTACTGAAAAAGATGATCATACAACAAACGCTGGCTTAAGTCCTAGGCCAACAGCTAGACAGAGAAAAGACACCTAGAAGAGTGTAGCAAGACAGAGACAAAGACAACCATATGGGGAGTGTCATCAGAGACTGACAACTAGAAGGACGAGAATGTGAGTTATACTAGTCATGACATCATCAGCATATGCCCCTAAGATAAACACAACCAGGAAACTCATCATCACTACCTCCAGCAACCAGAATAATGTACATCAAATGGAGGGTAATGGTCAAGTTCCCATGCTCAAAGTTGCTGGAATCTATATTCCTTATACCCTTAAACCACCCTTGAGTAAAAAAACATACTAAGAGATTGAGCTTTTTTTTTTAAGGTTTTAGCAAGGATTTATTTTAGGATAACAGGTTAAAATAGGGAGAAAAGAAGACAGAAATATTTGCTGCTGGAAGTTAAAGACATGAAGACTGTTTTTCTCAGAAAGTGCTTAACACTACCTACAGATGCTATTTAAGTGAATTAAGTTTCAAACTGTGTTAGACACTTCCTCCCTTGAGCTAATGAATAAAGCCCCTATAAATAAGTAGCAGGGAGAAAAAAGACCTAGGCAACTACAGAACAAGAAAGAAATATCAAACCCCAGGATCAGCATAAGGAAAAAAGAAAAAGACAGAAAAATACAACACAGAAAACCTCTGAGGCAAATTGATAGCTCTTTGTTTAAAAAGATCACAAATTAACACTAATCTTAAATCTTAAGATATTAGGTGGAAAAAAGAGAGAAAAATAAGCCTGAAACCAACAGAAGGAAGGAAATAAAAAAGTTTGATCAGAAAAAAATATATACATTATAGAAATCCAAAGGAAAAAAATCTTAAAACCAAGTCAATTATTTGTGAAGATACTCAAATGGTGATACCACTTCTTACCTTACAAAAGATATCTGACAGTCAGGTAAGTTAAATGGAAAAACTACTAGAAACACAATATATGTCCAAATGAACTCAAGAAAAAGAGATAACCTCAATAGTCCTACAGCAAGTAATAAAATTACATATATACATACATACATACATACATACATACATACATAATTTTAAAAATCTTCCGAGAAAGAAATTTGCAGGAGCAAATTGGCTTTACTTGTGAAGTTAACCAAATATGTAAAGAATTGACAAAAGCCCTATACAAACTATCAAAGAACAGAAAAGAAAAGACTACTTCACTACATATTCTACAAGTCCAGCATTACCTGATACCAAAGAGAGACAAAGATAACACAGGAGGGGCTGGGAAGGTGGCTCAGTGGTAGAGCGCTTGCCTTGCATGCATGAGGCCCTGGGTTCGATTCCTCAGCACCACATAAGCAAAAAGAAAAAAGCCAGAAGTGGTGCTGTGGCTCAAGTGGTAGAGCACTAGCCTTGAGCTGAAGAGCTGAGGGACAGCGCCCAGGCCCAGAGTTCAGGCCCCATGACCGGACCCCCCCCCCCCAAAAAAAAAGATAGCACAGCAATCTCACAAAGTTATATTCTTATGAATATATATGCAATGCTCATAAATAAAATACTGGGAAGTACTAAACATGACAAAACAGGATTCAGTCCAAGAATGCAAAGACAGTTCAAAATAAGAAATCAATATAAACCAGTACAGTAGAATAATGCAAACATGTGCACACATACACAAACACACACATCTGAAGAAAATACATTTGATGAAATTCAATACTTTTCATGAAAAAACCCACTCATTCATAATACAAAATGTAAGGAAATTTCTATAACCTTATATTGTGCATTCAAGAAAATTTCCCTTGGCGCTGCTGCAGGCTTCCTGCCATCATGGTAGGTTCTTGGTTGGGGCTCTGGTAACAATCCATCTTAATCCTCATTCCATCTACCACAGTACTCTCAGGTTAATGTTCCTAAAACCTGCTGTACTTTTTGTAAGAAGTGTGGCAAGCACCAATCTCACAAAGCAACACAGTACAAGAAGGGCAAGGATTCTCTGTATGCCCAGGGAAAGCGTCGTTATGACAGGAAGCAGAGTGGCTATGACGGTCAGACTAAGCCAATTTTCCAGAAAAAAGCTAAGACTACAAAGAATATTGTGCTAAGACTTCAATGTGTTGAGCCCAACTGTAGATCTAAGATAATACTAGCTATTAAGAGATGCAAACATTTTGAATTGGGTGGAGATAAAAAGAGAAAGGGGCAAGTGATCCAGTTTTAAGCTCCAAGTTTTGTTATGAAGACAATAAAATTGTGAGGTCAAATTCAAAAAACAAAAAAGAAAATTTCCCAGTGAACAGCATACGCAGTAGTTAAAGAAAGACAGCTATTTCCCTAAAAACCACGTATACAGAATGGTCACCTACACCACTGCTACTCAGTATCACTGGATGTCCTAGTCAGAGCAATTAGATAAATAAAAGAACTATAGACATCCAAACTGGAATGGAAGAAATAAAACTATCTCTGTTTGCAGATGATTATATATAAAAAATAACCTAAAGATCCACTAAAAAAGGGGAAGGAGAAACTTTACTAAAGCTAGGAAATAAATAGAGCAAGCTTAAAAGAGACAAGATCAGTAAATCTATGTTTCTAATAGCAACAGCATGTCTAAAGAAACTGTAGCTCCCTAAACACTGTAGTATATACAGCTAATCCTTAGAATATCCTATCAAATAGGACTTGCTTCACCAAATATACTGCTTTCCTTACACCAACTTGCATTGAGGGTAGCTGATAAATTTGACATCTAAAAAAAAATTACATAAAATATCTGTTCTGTTATCTCCTGCAATACAATAGCAGCTTAAAAAAGAAAAAGAACACTTTATCCTAGAAATAAAAAATATAATTTAGGTGGCTAGGAAATTCCTGATAAATTCCAGTGCACAAGACCTAGAAGTTTCTTTTTTCCCCTGAAGATTATTCTAAAACACACACACACACACACACACACACACACACAAACTTTTAATAGCAAAAAAACAAACAAACATTTTTTCCACCAGGGTGCTGGTGGCTCATATCTGAAATCCTAGCTACTAAGGAAGCTAAGATCTGAGGATTCCACTTTGAAGCCAGCTCAGGTAAGAAAGTTTGTGAGACTCTTTTCTCCAGTTAACCACCAGAAAATCATAAGTGGAGCTGTGGTTCAACATGGTAGAGTCCTATTAGACTTGAGCAAAAATGCACAGAGCCCCAAGTTTAAGCTCCACAACAGAAACAGAGACAGACAGACAGACAGACCAACAGACAGACAGACAGACAGAAAGACAGACTTAGTGTGTTGAGAGAGAGAAATACTTAATGAGTGTGTTGAAGAGGTAAAATGCATACCTGCTAGAATGTAGGCAAGTGTACATTCATCTAGCACACTAAGCCCTAGATTCTCAGGAACCCAACAGGGCTGATCATATTTCACTGGCCATTTTGAAGGATCCTGTGATCTTCCCTCTACTGGCTCTTCCTCCTCTCTCCCAAGTATCTAGCACTAGGGGGAAAAAAAGGGCACTGAGTAAGTTTAGAGAGAGGCAGCTCTCATCTCATCAACAAACCAAGGTTCCTTACAGTGGGCCTCAATTAGTTCAGTAGTATGGCTGTTATGGGAAGAGCATAGTCTTGTAGTATACTGCTCATGTTTCAACAGATAAAAATGAGGTCCTGGAAACACAAAGACAAACTAGTGCCAACTTTTTTCTTGGGTAGTTCATGGTTCATGAAGGAAGCAAACAGACTACAGAACATACAAAGTAAGGGCTAAAAAAGGGAAGTGTCCAGGTTGCCATGGGAACAAATAGACTCAAGCTTTCAGCATGGAGCCTGGGGATAGGCAGTATTAATAAAGCTTTCTTAGAGCAGGGCACCAGTGGCTCACACCAGTAATTCTAACTACTCAGGAGGCTGAGATCTGAGGATCATAGTTCTGTGCTAGCCTGTTAAGTAAAGTCTGTGAGACTCTTATCTCCAATAACTACCTTAAAACTGGAAGTGAAGCTATGGCTCAAGTGGTAGAGCACTAGCCTTGAGAGGGGGAAAAAAAAAAAGTTAAAGGAGAGTATGTACACCCTGAGTTCAAGCCAGAAGACCAGTGTGTCTGTGCGTGTGCCCACATATACCCACACAGACAGAGAAAGCTTCTTCATCCAAGAAAGGCATTTCTTTTGTCTGAAGGAAGTAGATAGTACAGCAGGGAGGCCAAACAAGCAGTCCTGGAACAAACCTGGACAATAAAACAGGAAAGATTCTGAGGGCCTCAGAGGCCACAAAGTGGAGTTTGGATTTTTACTTTTAGGAAAATGGGAGCTACTAAGATAAAGAGGCAGTCATAGAATGGCATTTGTTTGGTTTATTGGGTTAGGGGAAGCTAGTAAAAGGCCTGGTTATGCTGAAGTATCAGGTTTGAAGGAAATGGGCAGTAAACTGGCAAACTGGCTGAAGGGCTACAGCTGTTTCTCAATGACAAAGAACTTGTTTAAAATGTGTGAGGCCTGGTTTCTATCCCCCACAGGGGAAGGGGGGGGATGGATATAAATGAGGGACAAAAGTGAGATGAGGACACACTTTACAGCACTCAGTAAGTAGAAGCACCCCGGTTTAAGGACTGATTGGTTGTGGGGTACCAGGTAAATGATGGTGTCTTTTAGCAATGTTGAGTTCTTTTAACATGCTGTTTTAAGAATAATTCCCGGCTGGGTGCTGGTGGCTCATGCCTGTAATCCTAGCTACTCAAGAGGCTGAGATCTGAGGATCGTGGTTCAAAGCCAACCCAGGCAGGGAAGTCCGAGACACTCTTATCTCCAATAAACCACTCAGAAAACCAGAAGTGGTGCTGTGTGCTCAAGAGCACTGCTGAGGGATAGCACACAGACCCAGAGTTTAAGGCCCACGACCAACAAACAAACAAAAAGAATAATTCCATCAGGGTTTTCATGCCTGTCTGCAGTTCAAAGGTGTGATCGGAGCTGAGATTAAGATTTTAGAATCATATTACCTAATAGTACCAGATCAGTGAAAAAGAAATGAAGCTAGCAAAAAAACTCCTGAATAGTACCAACAGAAAAACATGAAGAAAAGGGTATTCAGAAAAATATGACCACCAAAGACACAGACTATGTCTTGATTTTTGGCCCAGAAAATTAGGTCATCATAAGCATACCTAAGAATTGAGACAAATTCACAGTGAAAACACACCTACTATAAAATACTATCTATATAGGTCACTTTTCTGAGAGAAAAGGGAAGGTTGTGGGTAGCAACAAACACCATTCCATAGGTTGCTAAGCTACTGAATAAAATAAGACAGGGCGTCTATCCATGTTGAAATCCAGACTTTTAGAAATGTGCCCCAGAATGAGTTACCATAGCAATGAGCTTCATTCCTCAGGGGACAATTGTTTTTTTTTTTTTGTCATTACCAAGTAACTTGGGGTGGGGCTGGAGGGTTGGAGTGAAACCCACAGTGTTTTGAGGATCATGGATTTCCAGGGAATACAACTCTAACACATCACACATACTTTGCATTATTAATACAAAGTGACCTGTTCTAGCAATCTGCAAACAACAGAAAAAGTTTAAGCAATAGGATGTCAATGCTTTTTTTTTTAGTATTTAATAACTACTTTAAGGAAGAAAAAAAGGTTTCAGATCCAAAGAATATTGCAGAGGTTCTTAGAAAATGTAACTGAAAGATTAACAACAAAAAAACTATTTCTCTATGATTACTGGATTTCTGGATTATTGTGTTGTTTCCAGTAAATGCATTTGAATCACGTACAGTAAATTAAACTCAGCCTTTTTACAATGCCTTGTGTATCTTTGGTATCCAAGATTTCTCCGTGGAAAAGAAGCTGCTGTATGGAAACTGCGAGTACATTAAGACAGCTAGGCTCAAGTTGGATGATATCCAGCCTCTGGTCCCCTCTGCCAAGCAGTTCTTATCTCCCATCAAGGATCCCACTACAATAGACCTAAATGACTTTCCTGAGTCACATACACCTGGATCCCCAGCCCATTCCCACTTGCCTCTGTAAAGCAGCAATCCACAAATCAGTGTAAGCAGAGGCTGGAGAAGAGGTACACTGTTTAACATCTCAACACCTGTAGCTTTTTGGTCATCCCTAGTCTTTTTTTTTCTGCTTTTAATTTTTTTTTAATATTTGTATTATCTTTAGGTATCTGTACAAAGGTGTTGCCATTCAACAAAGCTGGTCATCCCTACTCTTAAAATTGTTTACAGCCCTTTTGGTCACAAGCAGTCAGGCAGTCAGCAAGGTGTGCTGACAATGGCTATTTCCCATGGGGGTTTTCTCTTAATCCAAAGGCTGTGAAAGTCTTCACAATTTAGAATCAATTAAATTACAATCAAGTAACATTTTCACTGTTTTTAAAGTACATAAAACAGAGCCTCAAGATGAAGTTAAAGGGACCAGTTAACCAGGTATTACATGACAAATACAAAATAATTACAATTATTGTAAGAGCCCTCAAAGAAAGATGTCCCACAGTCTTTAGTTCTAAGGAGTTTTCTTAGTAATAAACATTATCCTGGATCTCCAAATACTGTCCTTGCATTGCAGGCTTGCTTTTATGTTTTGTTTTCTTGAGTTATAATTTAACTCAGTGGCTAATGTTTAAGCACAGCTTCCTGTTCTACACAGTTGTGGCTCAAGAATTCTGACACCCTCCTTTCCTCCTCTACACCCCACCTCACTTCCCTTACTAGTGTGACACATACATGACTTCCTTGGTAAGAAAGATCCTCTAAAGGCCTTCACAACTCCTCAGGTGAAAGTAAGCACAGGGATCATACAGCAACTTGCAAAAGCTACATTAGATCATATCATGAACTGTCAACACTGATTAGCAAGACTGTTCTCTCAGGAGACAAAGAATCCCTTGAAACATTTTCAAACTATTATTCTTAAATAGTTTTAACTTTAATTCTTAAAAATACCTTCAATGCCTACATTTTTTGATCACATACAGTAATTAGCACAGAAGAGTTGTTTTAAAAAATGCACAAACAAAATAAATGAAAGAAGAATGGGACATAAGAGAAAACTAACATTCTTGATACAACAAGTGCAGTGAAACCCAAAGAACAGCAGGCACAGGAGCAAAACATCACAGGCTCAGAAACTGACAGAATCCTGGCTGTCAGCAATGCCACAGACCAAAGGAATATGAGCAGAAACCTTAAATAGGGAGTCGAGAGAAGGAGTTCACACCTATCTTCTCAACTACCCCAGAGGCCAGACAAGAGAATCACAATTTAGGGCCAGTTTAGCAAAAAAGACTCTATCACTTAAAAACAAAAACAAACAAACAAACAAAAACAGCAAAAAGCAAAAGGG